ATCCAATAAAAATAGTTTTTAAATTTCAAGAAGTGCTTGACTGCTAAATTTAATAAAGTAATGTCTGTAGCACAGATAACATACTGTGTGTGTATGTGTTTTAACATGGTGTCCTGAATTCTACATTCTTTAGGATTTAATTGAATCTTTGTATATAAACATGAGTGTCCTCCATAATAAGGCATTTGTCAAAGAAAAGACAAAGTACATGAGGCAGTCTTGAGCAATAAGATAAAAGTTTTATTATCAAAAAAAAAAAAAATAAAAAAATAAAAATAAAAAATGCATCCCTTCTACCCCAAAGAGACAGAAGAATCTAACTCTTCCTTTGTTTATAAGTCAAGTCTGGACAAAAGACTTAACTGCATGGACGACAACAGAGTCGAAAACAGAGAGAGGATGTGAAGCAAAGAAGGTGAACACATTTTTGGCCATGCATACCCTCATCTAAGTCATAGATGGGCACATTCTGGGGCAGGGAATAAAGGAATGGTGACAGTTATCTGTCTACCCAGCTTTGATTTAACTAGTTATGCTTCAGGAAGACACAATAAGTAGAAATCTGATGTTTGTGAATGCAAAGATTGTTTGGTATAACTTAAAATTTATTCTTATTATGATGCAGTTAGGTATTATATGATGATTCCTTTCTGTAAATTCTGTAAATTCTGTAAATTCTGTAAATGTGATTTGCATTTGTTGTCTGAGGCTTTGTCTGAGTCTAAGATCAGTTTCAGTACACAGATAATAGTTTGTAAACATCCATGTACACTCAGTATATATGTGCTGAGGTATACACATATGTATATATATTTTCTGTTTATGTTATTTTTATAGATAAAATTTATCTAAGTAAATGCTCTTTTTTTTTTTTAGTTCTCAAACATTCAAGCTGGTGGATGAAATTAATACTGTTTAATTAAAAAAACAGAGCATTTACTTAAATAAGTTGTATTTATAAAAAAAAATGTATAAACAGAAAATATATTAAATAATTGACAGACTTAATCCATTTTATTATATATGTATGTATGTGTATATTTTAACATATATCTATGTTATGGACAAAACTATTACATTGTATATGAAAGAAATCTAATTTTCAAAATTTTACTAATTTAGTTTTCTGTTTTGATAAAAATGATGATGTTTATAAATAAATAGATTTAACTGAAACTTTTATATATAAAAATCAGAAAACAATGAGAAATTTCTCTTATTTTTATATGTATATGGGAGATGTAGATATATGGTCTTTTGAAAGTGATTTAGCATGGATATATATTAGATTTTATATATATATTATATATATATATATATATATATATATATATATGTGTGTGTGTGTGTGGAAAATGATATATAAATTTTTATGTTTCAGAAGAATTTTAGGAAAATTTATGATAAAGTGGAAAAAACATTTTATGTGACACATTTTGTCATTTAGGACATCATTGGACTAAAGTGATGTTTACACTGATATGATTACATATATGAAGGAGAGGAGATGCTGAAATTAAAGAAAAACTAAATTTAAATAACAACATCCCCTCTCCTTCATGCACATGTGTAATCATGCTAATGTAAAACTCACTTTAGTCCAATAAAGTTCTAAAGGATGAAAGATTACACAAAAAGCTTTTTATATAATTTATGAATATATATTATATAATATATATATATATATATATATATATATATATATATATATATATATATATATATATATATCATAGTGTGCTAGTGTTAATAAAATAGTGCTCAATGTCATATAACAGAGCTTTATTAAGTATATATTAATAAATATACATATTATCCCTAACCAGTAGCATGACTCAGAGTTTTCCAATGCAAACTTCAAGCACTGGATTACATTAACCAGATATCTTTATTAAAATTTAACTTATGTGATGGTCAGTCTCTACCCAGCACCTGAAGACTTTTGCTGTGCATGAAACTCAAAGTCATGCTACTGGTGAGATAGTATATATATATATATATATATATATATATATATATATATATATATATATATATATATATATATATATATTTATTAATATAGGTATTAATGTGGATAAATCAAATAACTTGATATTAGCAACTGTATATACTAGTTTTAGTGTGCATACACAGGTAAGCAAATAAATATTTACTCAATTTAATTTAAGGTGTAAAACAAAACAGTGCTCAATATGGTTAGACAGAGCTAAGAAGTATATATTAATATACATATACTTATGTTCGAAGTGCAACTTAAAGTTTTATTGTTCTACCAACTCATACATGAATTAATTCATGTCAAAACAACAAATCTTTAAGTTGTACTTTGAACATAGGTATGTGTATATTTATTAATATATATTTAGTAATATATATATATATATATATATATATATATGTATATATATATATGTATATCCATATAAGTTTTAAATGTATATGTAATTCTGTAAATGTATACAAGAGAAGGATAGATGATATGTGTGTAGTCTTTAAAGATTATAAATGGCTGTTTTCTATATGATTCATGTATGTATATGATTCATGTGTGTGTTTTATGTGTAAATATATGTGTATGTGTATATGCATGTGCTTATTTTATGTGTAAATATATATATATGTATACATGCATGTGTGAATTTTATGTGTAAATATGTATATGTGTGTATGTGTATATGTATGTGGGTGTTTTATGTATGAATATATATATATGCATGTATGCGCATATGCATGTGTGTGTTTTATGTGTAAATATATATATATATATGCATGTGTGTATTTTATGTGTAAATATATATATATGTGTGTGTATGTGTATATGCATGTGTGTGTTTTATCTGTATATATATGTGAATATGTATGTTTTATGTGTGAAAAAATATATATTTATGTGTGAATATGTACACATTGCACATTTTTGCATGAACATGTAATAATGAATGTTTAATTGAAATTGTTGGTGCATATTTTCTTCTTTTGTCTCTTCTCTTTGAGTTAAATGTTTTCATCTCCCTGAATATATGAAAAAAACTGAAAAAACAAAAGGAAATAGATCCCCCATAGATTATTAAAGAATTAAGGGAGTCCCCATCAGACAATATACATACACAACCTCTCTCTTCAAATAGTCCCAATCCTCTAAAAGTCCTAAAAGAATGTCTTTTTCACTTATTTGTTTCCAAACAACAAAGTGGGTAAGGATGGATCAAACTTCTTCCTGCCCCCCCTCAACAACAACTTTTAAATCTACAATATCATATCAGCCGTAAACAACCATGCTATAAACAACTGTATTTCTTTTATCTCAACTTCAAGATTTGCTTTTTCTTCATTCTGCAGAGCCAACTAACAAATTTCGGCAACAGCAAGGATACAACATTTCTCAAAAGCCCTTAACAAAATAAAATTATCAGCGATCTTTGTGTTCTTATCTGTTTTAATAATGTTTTGAGCAATGTGGCACCCTCAGCCACAATCATCAGTACATTCTGTGTACTTGTAAAATCTAAAAAAAAAAAAAGAAAAGAAAAGAAAATGACACAAGCAATATAAGCAAAAGAGTTGTGCCACTTTGGACAAGGAAACCATTCTTCCACTGACCATTTTAACAGAATGACTAGTTACGGAACTAGACTAAGGGTAATCACTTAAGGCTTGAAAAAATTTGTTTTGTATTCCTGGCTTGATGCTCATGGTACATTCTAAATTCTTGTAAAATCCACAATTTCCATATTTATAAATATATGTATATATTTAATCATAGCATTTATTATCTTTCTAGCACAGATTTTGTACTGGGAGTGCTGAAAATTTTTTTTTATTATTTCAAGGTGAGAAGAATCTTGGATCACCAATTGTTATGAGAAACCTGTTTCCATTGATTCTAATTTGAATCAAGAAAACAAAGGATTAAAAACAAGAAGTTGGGTAAGTGTTGCCTTCGATGACCCTTAATCTATTCTGCTTTCTTCCTGTGCTATTTTTTTTCATTCCCCTACCTAACTGGGAACAGGAGGTAATATCAAGCATACCAGCCATATATCATTTCCAGGGAGATAATAAAATCTGTGACTGCAGTTACCATGTGTGGTAATCAGTCCATGGGAGAGGAAACTGGCTTGTCCGAGAAGACAAAGTAAAAATACCACCAACATTTGAACAAGCTGACCCACATTTCATGTCCTCTACTGACATTATTAATTTTTTGTCTGCATTACAAAAGAACTTTTCAATAAATTTTGATTGTATTTTTTAAACATTTAGATTCACTTTAGGTTTTAGCAACAAGGAATGGACTTTCTTTTTTAATTACAACAAAAGAATAACTTATGTCTAAATACAAATGAAAAGACAATAAATCTGATAACAGGCATGAAACCAATAAAAGTTTACTTTTTTCTCTTGTCAAAAGTTGTGCTTTAACATTCTGTATTGATTTCACAGTTCATTCAAAATGTTTTAATATGATAGTTCACACAAAGGATGATAATATCTTTGGTTCTCAATGAAATTAATATGCTTATCTTTACTGAATATCTCTTTATTTAATAATAATAATAATAATTCCTAGAGAATATTAAAATGTACTTGGTAGTTTTAATATCATTGTTAAACTTTCAAGTAAGTAAACTGTATACAGATATATATATATATATATATATATATATATATATATATATATATATGCGTATATAACTTATTCACTCATATTATAAATGTCTGTTGGCAAAAATATATATATATATATATATATATATATATATATGTGTGTGTGTGTGTGTGTGTGTATGTGTAAATACCTATCACTCGAAAAGATGAACCTGTGTGCCAATGCTGTGATATGTTCAAGATAATACATAAAAAAAAAATAATTAAATTTCCCAATACAATTTGTGAAATGTGAAAACTATCTTGCCATCAAATGTGGAGGTAAATGCAGTGAGAACGAATAAAAACAAGCAGTTTTTGTTTGTTTGTTTGTTTGTTTTTTTTTTTATCTACGAAGACTGGACCATAAGATGTCCAAAGTTTGTTAGATCCTGTATCACTCTTTTCTGTTTGTATATTTCATAGTGAAAGGACACACCGAAGTCATCATTGGTGATGTGTGGTAAGTGCAATGGTGAGGAGAGGGTGTCCTGGGCTGATTGGTGTGAATTGAACATTTGGCTGATGTCGTTCTCCTGTCGGGCTGTCTCCAAGATCTTCATTTGACTCAAAATACATTCTTCACGCTCAATGATCTTCCTGAAGTTCTCCATCAAGTTCCGACGCTTCCTTTCCATCTCCTGTTCAGACATGGACAGGATCTCTCGTTCCCGCTCATCTATAACCTCACGAAGTTTCTGGAAAGTAAGCTTAATCTCATCTGTCACTTGCGTCTCCATCTCAGCCAGCTTTTCCATTGCCTGTTCAATATGGGTGCGTCTCATCAGGTGTTCTTTCTTTCGACGTTCCATCTCATTAATTGTCTCATTGATAATGGGTGTGTACTTGTTGAGAGCCTCCTCCATGTTCATCACCTGGTGTCCGTTGAGCTCTTTATGGTCAAGAACTGTACAGTCACTGCAGACAGGTATGGCACAAGGCTCACAGAAGAAGTTCAGGGGTTGAAGTTGATGCTTAGTACAATAGGCAATATCAGTGATGCCAGTCTCATGTACAAAGCTCAACAGTTCCAAGACAGTATGGTCATTGGGCAGACGTCGTAGATCCTCCTCTGAGGCGATGATGCTGTCCCGACAAGTAGGGCATTGGATCTTCACGGCCCTTGGCATACCTCGAAAGGCTGAGCTGAGGGACTGACGATACTCGCCCTCTACGCGGAACATCTCCAGGAAGCATTGCAAGCAGAATGAGTGGTGGCAAGGTAGTGTCTTAGGCAGCTTCTCACTTTCATTGAACACATCTCTGCAGATGAGGCATCGTAGAAAGACATCCTCAAAATGTTCTTCGTCAAAGATTAGGTTTCGTCGACGAAGCTTTTCTGCACTTTCAACCTTTTTGGGAACCATTTCTGGAATCTTCTCTGGAAGGAGAGTTAAGAGAAGAAAGGAAATGTCAATTTCCTGCAAGAGAAACCAAGAGAGGCAAGAGCAATTGCATTGGCCACTGCTTCCAAAGCCTAAATTAAGAATAAAGCACTGGATGGACAGACAAGCTTGGCCTATGAAATTAAAGTCCTTTAGATATGAAAGGGCAGAGTATGCCAAATAAGTTTAAATCTGGCTGGATATTAATGCTCAAGGGGGATAAACCTGAAAGTTTTAGAGATAATAACCAGATTAATCCAAGGGATAAATAAAAACTCCAAAGGATTTTAGGCAATGTTCAACCTTTATGCCCACAAAAAAAATGGTGTGTTAAAAGGATGGTTATTCACTTGACACCACTGTTATTCTATACAATTTTGACTCACCCAGCAATGTTTATTTACAAAATTATAAAAAATATGTGAACTATGTATAATGCAATATTTATTATTTAGCATTTATAAAGATTTATTATTTACGATTTTATAAAGAAACAAATTTGAAAAGAAATCTTTTTAATCAAAAATTTATAAAAAATTACAAAATTATCAAAATATGTAAACCAACTATAATGCCATATTTATTATTTACCATTTTATAAATAATTATACAACTTTTTTATTCAATCTAATAAATAAATAGTTTTTAATATCTTTGTTATCGATTATCAAGAATAAAGAAAATGTATATATCCACTTTCATGTTTGAATTTTATTAAAATTTTAATCATTGTTTTTTAAAACAATAAACATTGCTGAAGGAATTAAAAATGTATACAATAATAGTGGTGTTAAGGGAACAACTGTCCTTTTGACAAACTGTTTTTTTTTTGGGTGGGGGCATGAAGGTTAAACATTGACAGATTTTATATGAGCAGACTGTCCAGATCTGAAGATTATAAAAGCAAAGTTGAAAGTCAAGAAATAAAGAGGCTTTTACTTGCTTTTTTCAAAGGCCTGAGTTTTTTGTAAGCCAAGGCCAGAAGAAATCATGAGAATTGAAAAGAAAGCAAGAATGAGTAGAAAATCAAGGACAAAAACAGGAGTTAAGGGCTGAATGCTAAAAACCTATTGACACATTTATATCAGACCTATGTAAACAAAAGCCTAGAAAAGATAAGGTTAAACTATCTGCTTGAGAAAGACCATTGAGGCAGTTGAAGCTATATTAAAGCGATGGGATTGCTAAAATATGTGTCGAAGGAAAGCAAGAAAAAAAAGGATCAAGAAAGCAAAGTTACCAAAAAAAAAAGCTAAAGTATTATTTTATGTAATAAGATATGTCAAGTCACTCTACAAGTACTACTGGTATCATGTAACTCACTACTACCTTCTGCATGGCTGGGTCATTGGTGATTAAACTTGTTCCCTCACCAGTAGGATTAAACTCAAGACTTGTCAAAAAGCTGATAAACCTTCTTGTAGGGTCAATGGCCATATAGCACCAACTAGAGTAAGCTGAGTTCTATTGCTGTGTATATGCAGCCAGTGTAGTGGTGACACGGTATTGCTGGGCTGAAGGCTGCCTAGAGTGAAGTCAATGGACAGAGTAGACAGTTCTCCCAACAAAATCAACAGTCACATGTCCATGATCAAGGTGAGCCTTCAAGATGGAGGATATCAGTTGTGGTCTGACCTGGAGAGGGATGGACTCCGCCAGGTCTACTTGCCTAAGAGATGCTACACATCAACCCAGATCTGTGCAGGGAACTGGTCAGGTCCAGGCGCTCAGCTGTAGTGACCCTACAAGGAAACTTCTTCATGGGATGGATGATGAATAATTTGATAAATAATGAGGATAAATAAAGCATGATAATTGTAATATGAGATAGGCAAAAAACATATAAATGGACAAAGGTAAGTCTTTTAAAGGTTTGTAATTAAGGTGTCAGTTCAGTTAGACCAATATGAATACATAATGAGAAAAGATGAAAGTATATGGAGAAAAGTGAAATGAAATTGTTCAATATGATGTAGTAGTCAAGTTAAAATTATTCATTAACTGCATTGTATCCATTTTTAAAAAAAATCTTATATGTTTATTTTTTATTTACAAACCCTCTTTTTATTTCTGTTATATTTTTAACTAAAAATAATTTGTATGCTTTTTTAAAAATTTCATATCAGTATATTTTTAATTTAGTTACCCTATTTTTTATTTTGGGTATATTTAAAAAAATGCTTTGTATTTTTTAAAAATCTGATATAAGTATATTTTTTCTGAGGAACTCTCCTTTTTATTTCAATTATATTTTGAATTAAAAATATGTTGTATACTTTTTTAAAAATCTGATACAGGTATACAAGCTCAGATCAAAAGGTATTGGTACTTGTGCTATAAAAAGAAAACTACAGTACATGTCAATTTGGCATTTAATCTCTTTTGAAATAGTCTCCTGCTGAAGCCACACATTTCTTCGATTTCCTTGACATCATGAAATTTTGTCCCTTTCAAGTGGAATTTGATTTTTGAAGGGGAAAATGTCACAAGGAGCCAGATCTGGGGAATATGATGGTTGTCATATTGTGGAATGTCATGCTTAGCTAAAAACTGCTGCACAAGACATGGTCACTAATAGACACTCTGTTTTGTGGTGAGACGACCATAATCTACAGACTTTCCATCTAAGGAATGCTATAAACAACACAAGAGAGCAAGAACGTTATATCTTATTGCATATGTATATACAACAGAGTTCAAGGTTTATCTTATTGAATAATATACAAATTTTATATTCTTGACATTATGTTTGATGGTAATAAAAAGTTGTCAAACTAGGATTTCCTGGCAGAATCCATAAGTGATTTCAATTATATAATAGACTTCATGGATAATTCAGTGATAGCCCTAATCAATAGGTTTACAAATTTTTTCCATAATTTGGGGTATTTGGCTGATGATTGGCCATCCTGAACACCCATCACCTTGAACCAACACTTAATAAGCCTTGATACACCTATGCCACATAAGACATTAGTTGGCTTATTGCCATATCATGTTGCTACACCAGTTCTTCCGAAGTTAGGCAACATTGTGTCTTGTTAGTTCGTAAATGGGTGACTGCTTGGAAATGCCAGGTGCTGTAAGCTTGGATGTGTGGATGGTGCAATGGATAACTGCACAGAATTAGAAATTGGAGAGTCGAGTTCAGATGCCAGTTGGCTGTGTTATATTTGCTTATGAGCAAATATCCTTGGGAAAGGTATGAATCCATGTCATCTCCCTACCAGCTATGGCTTAATTAGTAGGACTTGTATGAATAAATCTGAGAAATTCTTACAATCTAAAAATATTTTCTGGCTTTAAATAACCTGTAAAAGATTGTTAAACCATAAAAAAGAAATCAATCAAAAAAAAAAAAAAATACTTGTTTGACCTCAAGAATGTTTGATAAAACATTGATGAAACATTTTAAGTGTCTCAGCAACTGATATTCCAAGTTTTATACACAATATGATGCAGGCATCTTGCTTAAATTTTTCAGCTCTCTTTAAGATCACAGAAACAATCCAACATGTTAAAAAAAATCTTGTGTAATAATTAAACAAATTGATAATACAAAGCCTATTGGCAGACTGACTCAGTAGGTTGGGTCCAAATGGATATTATCTACTTTCACATTTCTACTGAATAGTACAATCATAGCATGTAATGTTTAGGAGCTTTCCAATATCATATCACTTGTATGCGTATAGACATTCATCATATATAGAGTAATTTAATTGCAGAGTGGAAATAATTCAGTATTCATCTGTTTTTATAGTTACTATTATTTTGAGTGGGTGGGCCATCAAGCTGACCAATTACAAATATCTGTGAAAGCCATTTGAAAATGACAAAGTTTACTATAGCCTTACAGTTCAAAACATTACTGAAATATTGTTGCCATCTGACCTTAATTCCATCTGACTTTCACAAAAGTGCATTGCCAGGCTTTGCATGTGAAAGTGCAAAGACAGAAGATGGTTGACTATAAACAACCCATAGTTGATGGTAGAAAAACATTGAGCTTTACTTGTCAGCAGATGTCTGAATTTTGCAGGCTTTCTCATGTCACCACATGTCTTTGATTGCCTGCAACTCCTGCTAAATCCTGGCTTTACACTCTTTGAAGTTTTTCTGAAGTTTATCCTGATCACTTCCACATACTGAACAAGAAAGCAACTTGTTAAATGCTACTTTCTTTCCATTCAATAGCTTTTCTATGGGTACTTCATTCTCCTTAAACCAATCCTGATTCCTTCTTTCCACAAAACCCAGCATAGAGGAAGCAGCCTCATAGAGCTGCTGACTAAAACTTACAGATGGTTCATCAGAGTTATTATGTTTCATTGTTTGAACAGCTTCTTGATATTGTTTAAGCTTTTCAAGGTTTTTTACTTTGGCTACATCAATATTCTTGGGTGTCTTCACATCACTATACCTCAGCTTTCTACACAGTGATTGGCAGGCATAAGAGTCTGCGGTCTGTCCAACATTCAGCTCCTTGCATGCAATGGACAGATTTTCCAACTGACAAGTCTTTTTGGGGAATAACCATGTATTCAAGAATGTACCAGTGACCTGAACATGGTTGCTTCCAAGTAGCCTTATATTTGTCCTGGTGTCTGAACCAAGTATTGGTTATCATTAGGTCTAACTTCTGGCAAAGCTGTAATAAAAGTAGCCCATTTGCATTACATTTACTGATTCCTTGTCTTCCTATGCTCCCCAGAGTTTAGAGTCATATCCTATACAGCATTAAGGTCTGCCAGAAGTACAACTTTGTTATTCTTATCTACATTTCTTAGAATTGTTCTAAGATCACCATAGAAGCTGTTTGTTTCATCTTAAGTGTTGATGCATATACTAATCATTGTCATGAATTACCTCAGATTAAGTCACATATGGAGTGCTGTTATGCAGTTGGAGAAACCATGAAGAAGTTCTGTCAAACATTACACTAGGTGCATTTTAAATCAAAGCCTGCACCTATCATACAG